CCAATCAATGGGAACCATTCCAGAATCCAGAGAATTTTGGAAGATCAAAGACAAGCCATCCACTATCTGAATAGCCACTCTTTTAAAACCCTAGGATGTAGGCCATCAGGTTCAGGGGATTTATCAGTTTTAAGACCTGATAATTTACCTAAAACCATTTCTTTACTAATATTAATTCCCCCAAGTTGCTCGCTAACATTGTCTTCTTGGTTCCCCTCTATTCTTGGTAGGTTTTCAGTGTCTTCTAAGGTGAAGACAATAGCAAAGTACTTGTTTAATGGTTACTCTGATAATCCACGACTGTTTGCTGCGCACAATTAGTTGCTGCGTTTCGGTCACAACCTATGTCAGTGGTCGGGTGAAACGCTAAACCTAGGTCCAGTCTGCTTGTTCAGCTAGACATTAAAGACCATCATGTCACCATTCAGAAAGAGAAGGATGTTACCCTATGTTCTTGCTAACAAATCCCCCCAGATATATAAAAAAATGTCATTCCTTTCATGGCCTCAGCAGGCTCCAGCTTTCTCCATGTCCCAGCCCACCCCACCATCGGCGATTGGGCCTTCAGCCTTTCTACCCCGATCCTGTGGAACTTCATCCCACATTCCCTCCACCTCGCTCCCTCCCTTGCCTCCATCAAGGCGCGTTTCAAAACCTTCTTCTTCCACTGTACCTTTGGCCATCTTCCTACCTTCCCTAACCTCCACACTCCCCGATCCCGACCCCCAGCTCGGGTCCAAATCCTTGACTGTTCAGTGCCTTGGGACGTCCTCCCGATCATGAAAGGCGCTTTAGAAATGTAATTTTTTATTGTATGGGCTGTTTCTGGGTTGTTACTGTGCCCAAAATTGTCTGCCTCATCACAGTCACTACACTAAACAAACACAGTCACTACACTTTGCGGTGAATTCAGTGAAGGGCTTTGAAATGTCCTCCTGACACAAAAGACACGATATCAAAAGCGAGGAACGAACATGAGCCATTTCAACATGATAATAATATGGTAAAAATAATAATAATCCTTACATTTTATTCGTCGTCTTATCACTTCTCGATAAAATGCTATTACAAATCGAAGCTTAATCCAGAGCACGAGTTAATTCAGATAGGAAACCCTGCTCCTGGTTTGAATCCAATCTTCCAAGCAAATGGAACCCAGACACCCACAGAATAGGTTTGCGCATGTGTGTGTGTGTTTGTATGTGTCTGGCTACCCTTTTTCTGAATGGCTACATTACGCCAAGGAGCAAAGGATGATCAGATCCCTGCTTTCAGGGAAAGGGAGAGGGCAGCAGAGGTGGAAGGAAAGAGAGTGAGAGAGAAACAGGTGGTGTCTGTTTAAGTGACACGATGCATAGCTCTCTTATCTCTTGTTTTTTGTCCTACTGCCACTAGCCTCGGGAATCATGCTGTAAAAAAAGAGACATCCCAGTTAACCCAGGGATCAATCAAATAAACTGTTGAATCCAGCAACACCCTGAGAAGGGAGCTCACTGGACTGCGATAGTAATGCAGGCTTGAGAGGCCCCAAGGTACTGCTCCAATCTCATCGTTCACGGATTAGCTGATTCCCTGTGAATTCCTTTAAAGCGTCTGTGGGAATGAGAGCGATAATGTAAACAATCCTCGTACACTAAGAGAGTACAGTAATGCCAGGCTGGATTTAGAGGAAAAGTACTGACATTTTTAAAGTGTCCGCCCTGTTTCACTTTCTTGTAAAACAAAAAATAATCCTTGCATTTGATATATCGTTTTTCATGTCTTCTCGACGTCTCAAAGTGCTTCACAGAATATGCAGTAAAGTGAATTGGCTGTATATTTGTGGATGAAACGCGACAGCCAATTGCGCACAGCAGTGTCCCACAAATAGCCATGGATTGAAAATGATTAATTTATTATTGTTCTTTTTCTTGAGGGATTATTATCAGGGGTGTGGAGTAAGGAAACTTGCCCAAGGTTTTGCCCTGCCGGGAATCAAACCCAGGACTTTCGCTTTTGAGGCAAGGGCTCTAACCACTGAGCTACAGGATTCCAATTACAAGACTTAAGTTCTTGTAATTGACGTGCTGGCCTATGCCATGAAAAAACTGTGTCATGCTGCTCACTCTCAACTCTGAGTCACAAGGCTGTGGGTTTCAGACGTTGAACTCAGGTACTGTAGGTTGACACTTCAATACGGTGCTGTGGGGTATGGGGGGAAGCTGCATTGCCGCAAGTGCCATCACTTCAGGTGAGATGTTAAGCCAAGGCTCTGTCTGTATTCAATTAGGTGAAAGTCATAGATCCCGTAACACTGTTCGAAAAGAGAAGGGAGTTTCTCCCAATGCTTGGTCAACAATCCTCCTAATAAAATGCGTCAGTCATTTTGTGGCTTTTTTTTGGGATATTGCTCTTCGCAAACTGGTTTCAGGGTTCACATTCACCAACAAATAAACAGACACTGCACTTCAGAGGGTTAGCTCGATTATCTGTTGCCAAAAATGCCACGTTGGAGCCAGTTCAGCTCCAAGGAGACCCCACTTACCTCCAGCCAAGGAGGAGAGTCATCAGTAAATAATTTAACATCTGAAAAGCGTGAGTTTGAGCCCTCATTAGGTGAATAGTAAGTACACAGCTAAACAGCTGCAATAGGTTATCACAAGGTCACAAGAGAGGTCTGGGTTGAGAAGGTCTATTTGATCTCATTAGTGGCTCAGTTTTCAGATTCTACACCCCCAACCTCTGGAACTCACTCCCTCCCCCCCACTCACCCACCTGTCTTTAAATCCCATTTAAAGCCTGTCTCTTTGACAGTGACTATGGTCACCTCTCTCTCCACCCTCCCCACTCCTCCCTTACTTGGTATCCAATCGCATAACTTTCAAATGCACTGAGATATTATCTTACTTGAAGGGCACTATAAATAAATGCAATTTTTTGTTATAAGGATACAGACCCCATTAACAACAACAACATGGAATTATATAGCACCCTCCACCCTGGGCAGTGTCTCAGAGCCCGAGCGGGAGGGAGTAGGTGACTGTAAACACAGTTGAAGAGGAAGGTCTTGATCTAAAACAGGGTACGGAGGGTGAGGTGGAGGCATCGAAACAGAGTGCCCAGCACACAGACCCCATTAATCCAGTAGAGCCCAGCACGCAAACCCTCTCACTGACCCTTTGAGAAATTCCAATCACTTTAAGCCCTGTAGCTCAGTGGTTAGAGCACTCGCTTTGCAAGTGAGAGACCCGAGTTCAATTCCAGGCAGAGGGGGAAACCTTGGGCAAGTTTCCTTACTCCACACACCTAATAATAATCCCTCCAAAACCAAAAACAATAATAAATTGGTCATTTTCAATCCACGACTGTTTGTGGGACATTGTTGTGCGCAATTGTCTGCCGCGTTCGCCACAAATATACAGTCAATTCACTTTACAGTATATTCTGTGAAGCGCTTTGGGGCGTCTAGAAGACGTGAAAAGCGCTATATCAAATACAAGGATTATTATTATTAAGAGATCACAGAAGAAATGGTTGAATTCACCCAATATTATTTCAGGGCAACCTCGGACCAGCAGCTAGTTCGCTGGACGTTACTGGTGGCATCAGCATCAGCTTTGTGAGCAACGGGACAGAATTTAACCTTCGCTACACAGGGAAGAAATATGACTCTATCCACAGACTTGTAACATATCAGCATAGCACACCTCACACTGTGTATATACTTTTTTTTTTTTTGGTGAGCGAGGTTAGGGGTCTCACCCCCATTAACCGAATTAGACTGAATATGTTCCACTAGGGAACAAGGATTGTCCCCACAAACAAGTCCTAATCACCTCCAAACTTAGCCCCAAACCATCTAGATCTACCCCACTCCCCCACCCATCTCATTCCACCCCAACTGTATTCAAGTCCCATCTTAAAGCCTGCCTCTTCGACAGTGTCTATGGCCACCACCTCCCTGTCTCCCCTCCCCTGTGAGGAACCCAACCCCATTATTATAAAATAGACTGAGATATTATCTTACTTGAAGCACGCTTTTATAAATAAATGCAAATAGTTGTTAAAACACACAAATCTAAGTCCCAAATTGTCAAAGGACAATGCAGACCTGAACCTGTCTTCACAACCAGCCGAGCGTGATGGAATGACCTCTCCGTCAGGTCAAGCCCGGCCTGAGCCTAGTGACCACGGGGGCAAGTGAGCTCTCCATTTCAGTATCTCCGCTTCCTCTTGTAAGGGCAGATCACACTCCTCAGGTCAGAAGTACTGCAATCCCGATCCCTACCAACAGGGGGTTGTGTACATGCTGTCCATGTGAATTATGTCAGCAAATTGGCTCAAAATAAACCTAATTAAAACAAAGATGTTGGTAACACACTGCTCTCTTCTCCCTTCCCACCTCAAAAACAGCCCTTAAGGCTCAATTGAGAGATTCAAGGATTAAATGAGGCGGGAAAGAGAGAGAGAGGTTCACATTCACATCACTGACCTAATCAAACCTGCTCTATGGCTTGTTAATCTATTACACATAACGACATCAACAACTTGCATTTGAAGCGCTTTGAGACGTCTCGAAGACGTGATAAGGCACTGTATCGAATGCAAGGATGATGATGATTATGATTTATATAGCGCTCTTCACGCAGGATAGCATCCGAGAGCGCTTGACAGTGGGAGAGCACGAAGCCGGGCCGGGGGGAGGGGAGAGGTGACCGTAACCATGGTTAAAAAGGAAGGTCTGCAGGAGTGACCTGAAGATGGGGAAGGAGGGGGCAAGGCGGAGGGATAGGGGAAGAGTGTTCCAGAGTTTTGGACGCAGCAGCTGAAAGAGTGGTCAGCGATTGTGGAATGGAGGGCACGAGGGAATATAACATATACACACACCGGCCCCTCGCTGGATAAAATAAGACAGATATTGATCAAAGGCTTTGCACGTTTCCGTGGGTGATGGAAATTGGAAGAGTTGCCCAGCAAAGGAGGAAATATTCACAATAAAGGCGTGTTTGAGTTTCTCTCACCTGAAACAGGTCGCCACTTCACCACTGGATTTCAGACAAGGATACTCTGTTGTGACCACTTTGTTATCTGGGCAAATCTCTCTGCTATTTTTGGGGTGGGTGGGGGGAGAGATGAAAGGTAATGTGTTCAGGTATAGGACAAGGCGAACTCTTAACCCCAGTTTGCCCCCCTTCTCTCTCTCTCTCTCTCCTCCCCCTAATCCCCCCCACCCCATCCCCACACACACATACACACACCACCAACCCACCCTGTGAAAAAAATGAATAAGATTCTTTCACTTTTCTTTTTCTTGCACATAAACTCCCAACACGAATTAAGATGCGTGTTTAGAAGAGAAAGAAAGCACAAGACAATTTCACAAGAGATTGATGCAAGATTTCTTTCCTATATATATATATATAAAGTTCCCCAAATTCTCAGAATCAGCTTTATTTAATGTCAGGACACCCACTTTTTTTTGAGGGGTGGGGGGAAGAGATCAAAATGGGTAACATGAGAGATAAGGAAAGAACCAACAAACTAACACACGAGTCAAGGCAGTGAAATAAGGAACTCCTGTTGACTAAACACACACACACACACACAGAGAAAGAGAGATAGTCTGAAGGGAAATGAGGAAAAAGGGGGAAAATAAACTTAGATGCAAATCACTAACCTGTCGACATCATCTTGCTCTGAAATTGAGAAGTAAGAGTAGGTGAATCCAGTGGACACCAATGCTAAGAGAGAAACTGCTCTCAATAAACAGCCAAGGCTCCTGGGCAAAAACATTGTATGATCTGGTGCAGCAAGTTTCTGGTCAGTTTCTGTTCCCACAGGGTAGGGGAACTCGATGGATGAGCCTATGTATCTTCCCAGTCTCTCAGTAGTTAGTGTCTGTCTCTCAGTAGTGGAGTGCTTGTCGATTTCACATCAGGATGAGTGATTTCAAGGTGCATTGCATTGCCTCTGTCTCTCTCCCTTCACTCATTCACTCACTCACTCACTCACTCACAATCACTCACTCTCTTTCTCTCTGTCTAAAAAAACATTGCAATTCAATTATTTTTTTTTGCTGGAAGATTTCAGCCACTGGGCTGGCTGTGCTGGCTGGCTTGCCTGGATATTTGTCAGCAGCTTGTAGGAAGGAGGGAGGAGGAGATGCATTTGTTTTGGCTGCTCCAATGCACTCTTGTTGGGATCAGACAAATGTTTTTTATTTTTTACGCACAGACACACACACTCTCTCTCTCTCTTTCTCTGGGTCCAACTTGTAGGTTTGTTAGCAAAGGGGGTGGAACTTGGAGAGAGGCGAAATGGGCGTGAAGGAGATGATGTGTGTAATGTTAATGCCAGTGTACAAGTATGTGTGTGTGTGTTTATCAGTGTGTTTTAATACTACACTGTCTGTATGTGTCTGTGTTTATCAGTGTGAATGTGTGTGAGTAATTTGAGTGTGTATTTATCTGTGTGTAGGTGTGTTAATAGTACGTCTCGCCCACAAAATATACAGTTAATTCACTTTCCAGTCTATTCTGTGAAGCGCTTTGAGACGTCTAGAAAATGTGAAAGGGGCTATATCAGACACAAGGAATATTTTATTATTAATGTAAACTCCTATAGCTCAGCACTCCCAATAAAAGGGCTCAGTGAAGAGTTTTCCAGAGTAGGGAGTTAGGCATAGACATAAATACATGAAATAATAATAATAATTTGGTCACTTAATCCACTGCTGTGCGCTATTGGCTGCCGCGTTTGGCCCACAACATATACAGTCAATTCGTTTTACAGTATATTCTGTGAAGCGGTTTGCGATGTCTTGAAGATAAGGCGTTATATTAAATGCAAGGATTATTATTATTTATAAATGTGGCCAGGATATTGACTGCTGATGTCCTCCTGAAAGCACAATGAGTTACGTGGTAGCGACAAGTTAAATCAGTGTCAAGTTAATAGGAGTTTACTGTAGATATGGATGCATTTTTCAGTGTAAATGATGCCGTTAACACGTGTGTATATACTACTACTAATAATAATCCTTGCATTTGTTATAGCCCTTTTCACATCTTCTAGACGTGTCAAAGCGCTTTACAGAACAGACTGTAAAGTGAATTGACTGTATTTTTTGTGGGCGAAATGCAGCAGCCGATTGCGCACAGCAGTGTCCCACAAACAGCCGTGACCAACTTTTTTTTCTTGAGGGATTATTATTAGGCATGTGGAGTAAGGAAACTTGCCCAAGGTTTTACCCTGCCGGGAAGTGAACCCAGATCTCTCGCATGCAAAGCGAGCGCTCTAACCACTGAGCTACACAATTCCACAATTTATTTCTCCACAACAACAATAAATTACATTGATATAGAGTCTTTCATGCCAGGAGGACATCTGAAGACGCTACAAATGTATATTAATAGCATGTGTGCATTTGGGTGTGAACGACTGTCAGATTTCAAGCATTTTGTCCCCTCTTAACTCTGGATACAAGCACTATCCGATTAGTTAGGGCTGGATTCCATCTGCTCAGAAACCTGTAACGTCGCCTTTGATACCGGCTCCCCTTTTTTCTCAATCAACCCTCATCCATTTTTTTTTAACAGAAGCAAACATTGTTTTCTCAGCCACCTTTAATTTTCGTCCACCGTTCTCTTTGGTCCCTCCCTCCTTTGCTCCCAGTTCTTTTCGAACCAGAGGACACCAGAGGATTGAAGGGGGAGAAATTCAAACCAAATCTGCAGAAACACTATTTGATGAGCAAGTAGTAAATGTATGGAACAGGCTCGCGAGGGAGATGGTGGGAGTAAGAAAGTGTTGATACTTTCAAAAGCAAATTGGATAGATTTCTTTTAGGAAATAATATCTTGGGATATTTATAGTTTGGGACATGACATGTGCAACTGCCAGGATGATGGAAGGCCAACTGGATGGACCTTGGTCTTCTTTCATATAGAAAATTCTTGCATTCTTTTCATCAGTTTGGAACACAACTCAGAAAGAAATGAATAAAAGTACATTCACATGAGCGGGCTTTTTTTTTAAGCGCTGAGCCATGACATCACCCCACTGGTCGTCTTTAATAATAATAATCTTTGCATTTGATATAGGGCCTTATCATGTCTTCAAGACGTCTCAAAGTGTTTCACAGAATATACTATAAAGTGAATTGACTGTATATTTTGTGGGTGAAACACAGCAGCCAATTGTACACAGCAGCGTCCCATACACAGTCGCGGATTGAGTGACCAAATTATTTTTATTTATTTTGAAGGAACTATTACACCCGGAAAATCGATCCGCAAATCAACTAACAACTGGGTTCTTGCTTACTGCTAGATAAACAGGCGTGTGGAGTAAGGAAACTTGCCCAACATTTCTTTTCACGCAGCGAGTTGTTTGGATCTGGACTGCATTGCCTGAAAGGGTGGTGGAAGCCGATAACAACTTTTAAGAGAGAAATAGATAATTATTTGGGGAGGACAAGTTTGCAGGGCTATGGGGAGAGAGCGGAGGAGTGGGATTGAATTGGATGTCTCTTTTCAAAGAGCCGGCAGGGACACGATGGGCCGAATGGTCTCCTTCTGTGCTGGATAATTCTATGATTCTATGATAGTAAAGAATCACTGGGAGAGAAATTCCACTTGGATCTGGATATACAACGACAACAACTTGCATAGTATATAGTGCCCTTCACGCAGGGCTTTTTTATTTGTACTGTCTTGAAAGAAATTTACAGACTAAACTAAATTTACAGAATAAACAGCTTCAATTTTTTTAAAGAATTTGTCCAATTTTGCGCGATCTGAAATGCTACATAAAATTTAGATTTAAATACAATTTCTACCCATAAGTATAATGATAATAATGTTTGGATTTGACATAATGTCTTATCATGGCTTCGAGATGTCTCAAAGTGCTTCACAGAATGTACTGTAAAATGAATGGATTGTATATTTTGTGGGTGAAACACGGCAGCCAATTGCGCACAGCAGTGTCCCACAAACAGCCATGGATTGAGTGATGAAATAATTTATTTTAAAAAGAAATTTAGGGACAGAAAGTTTACAGCACTGAGGGGGTGGAGAGGTGCTTGCCATCCATCGGATTAAATGTTAACCTGAAGTCCCTTCTGCCTGTTCAGGTGGATGTTAAAGATCCCATGGCACTATTCAAAAAGCGATTGGGATTTCTCTTGGAGTCCTGGCTGACAGTCCCCCAAATAAAATTGACCCACTTGTTTCATGGCTATTTCTGGGGCATTGTTGTGAGCAATTCTGCTATTGCCTACAAATACACAGCCACTCCATTTCATAGTAAATCCTGTGAAGTGCTTTGCGATGGCCTCTGACGTGATAAGGTGCTATATCAAATGCAAGGATTATTATTATTGTTAGAATTCATTTTAGCTCCCAGCTCACTTTGTTGGGAAGTGTTTCTGAACTTATATTAAGAGATGGTTGAAAAGGCACCTTGCACAAGGCTCTTCTGTAATAATAATAATATACTAATCCTTGCATTTGATATCACATCATTGAGATGTCTCAACAGCCTTCACAGACTATACTGTAAAGAGGATTGTGTATTCTGTGGGGAACCAGACTGAGTCAAGCAGTTATTTACCATTCGATAGTCAATGTTTCTCCCAGTGTCTCAAAAGCACTTGAAGCAATATTTTATTTTAACTGCGTGGAATGGTATATTGTGACCAGTCTGGTGCCCTAAGTAGCTCGCATCTAAATTTCTGATGTGAAGGGCACTCTACAGTAATTTGTTATTGTTGTTTGCCTCTGAGGCAGTAGTGTTGTGCGTTCAAGATCCATATCAGGACTAGAACTCACCAGGCCGTACTGAAATCCCTTCCTCCTGTTCAGGTGGATGTTAAAGATCCCACGACACAGCACATCACACATCAGTGTGTTCGTCTGGAAAATAGAGAGTCACTACACTTTGCAGGACATGCTGTGAAGTGCCTTAAGACGTCCTCCCAGCATGAAAGTCCCCATATTTCGCCTACAATATACACAGTCAATCCGCTTTACAATATATTCTGTGAAGCCCTTTGAGACGTCTCAGTGACGTGATAAATCCAAGGAATTTTGCTATTATTATATCAAATGCAAGGATTATTATTTATCAAACCCACTGTGCATGTGATAAGCAAAGAGAAAATTAATGAATTCATCTCACGCTGATTGGGGTTGATTTGAGATCGGTCACCCAGGACAGGGTTAATGAAAGCGGGAACGTTTCTTTGATGGGAATGTGACCTCCCTGTAAACAACGTTACCTGTGTTTCTCTCTGGATCGCAGGAATCTTCCCATGCGCATAGCAAACCCTGACCCCTTGTGGCTGTGTTTGCATCTGCCTTCCATCAAATTCAGTTACAAGCGCTCGTTGATAAAACAAAGTTAATAATCCTTGCATTTGATTACAGAGCCTTAGCACATCTTTTAAATGTCTCAAAGTGGTTCACAGGATTTACCGTCAAGTGTATTATTTGGGTCTTTCTTGCAAATCCTGTAGCTTAGTGGTTAAAGCTCTCGACTCACAAGTGACCTGGGTTTGATTTAAGTTTCCTTACTCCACACGCCTCTGTTCACATAACAGGAAGTAGGAATTCAGTTAGTCGATTGGTGAATTGCTTTTCCTGGGGTAATAATCCCTGAAATAAATAATAATAATAATAATCTGGTCACTCAGTCAATGACTATTTGTGGGACGCTGCTGTGCGCAATTAACTGTCGCGTTTCACCCACAAAACACAGGTCAATTCACTTCACATTGTATTCTGTGAAGTGTTTTGAGACGTCTCAAAGACTTGATAAGGTGCTATATCAAATGCAAAAATTATTATTATTATTCATACCTGGTATCAGAGACCGTCAATGTGACAACTGATTTGCACATCAATGTCCCCAAAACAGTTACTGTAAAGTGTAGTGACTGAGTATTCTAGGCAAATTGTGCAGCCATTTGCACAGCAAAACACAAAGCCATAAAGTGAATGACC